AGTCTCGCTCCTCGCTGCCCTCCCTCCTCTCCTCACCCCCCACCGGAGGAACAACCCCCCCCCCCCCTCCATCCCCCTAATTGATGCACGGTGCGCCCCCCGCCCCCGTCTGTTCTCGCGCAGGGCCCGAGCTCTTGACGATGTGGTTCGGAGAGTCGGAGGCGAACGTCCGCGACGTGTTCGAGAAGGCTAGGGCGGCGGCACCGTGCGTGCTCTTCTTCGACGAGCTCGACTCCATCGCGGGGCAGAGGGGGGGATCTAGCGGGGACGGGGGAGGAGCGGCGGACCGCGTGATGAACCAGGTCGGTGACGGCACGCGGCTCTCTGTCGGTCTTGGATGTGAATATATTCCTCTTGTGTGTTGGTCGATAGGTAGGATACCTGATACCTGTTGTGGCGGGCTTTGTGTGTTGAGGCTTGTTTTGTTGGTGTTGCTGCTGTGGTCGGCTGGGAAGATTTTCAATACTAAGACCTCGGCTTCGAAGGGGCAGACGGCGTATCGACTTGAGCGGTGACTTGCTGTTTTGATCGTGTCTCAGTCGATATTAGTCGTGCGTCTCGCCGACATTCGTTGTCCGTCTTGACTGCTTGTACTTCTAACAAGTACGTTTTTTCTAACCACAGACCATGCCCCCCACCCCTATAACCCCGTGTGCGCTGTCCCTGCCTTGCCTTGCCTTGCAGCTGCTGACGGAGATGGACGGTGTGGGGTCGAAGAAGAACGTGTTCATCATCGGCGCTACCAACAGGCCCGACATCATCGACTCGGCCCTCATGCGTCCCGGCCGTCTAGACCAGCTGATCTACATCCCCATGCCGGACCATGACAGCCGGCTGTCCATCCTCAGGGCGGTGCTGCGCAAGACGCCCATCAGCAAGGAGGTTGACCTGGAGTACCTGTCCTCCCAGGTGTGTGTTTCGCTCGTTTGTGGTGGTGGAGCTGTATTATTTGTTGTTGTTGTCGTCGTCGCTCCTTTTTTTGTGTTGTTTTGGTGTGTTTTTTCAAGTCCGTCTGAGGTGTTGTTGTCGATGTGTGTTCTTTTGCCTTCGGGCGTTATTCAATCAAGTCCGTCCGTTGTTTTTTGTGCCACGGCGCTCTGTCTGAGCTGACATGTTCTTGGTGCACAGGCAAGAGCACATGCCCTCCCAAGTTGCGTCCTGGTGCATACAACCTCCAGACGTGCTATCAACTTGTCATGACCCGAACCCGTCTTGTGGCCTCTCTCTCTTTCTCTGTTGCTTGCCATTTGCAGATGGAGAAGTTCACCGGCGCAGATCTTACCGAGATTTGCCAGCGCGCGGCAAAGATCGCCATCAGGGAGAACATCATGAAGGTGCGTCCAGCACGCGCGCATCCGTCTGCCGCAGACGGTGCTTTTTCCTGGGTTTACTTATTCTTGTATACATAATCATCGCAGGACATGGAGCTTGCACGCTTCCGGGGGATTCTTATCATTGTTTGCCATTCATGCCCGGTGCGCTATTGTGATACGAGATGGTACCTAACAATTCCGCCTGGTTGTTTCCGCGGAATTTTACGATATATACTCCTTCTTGTGTATCGCAGGACATGGAGCGCGAGCGCCTCCGGGGTGAGGCCGGGGACGCGATGGAAGACGTGGAGGAGGAGGACACCGTTCCCGAGATCCTTCCCCGCCATTTCGAGGACGCCGTCCGCAACGCACGCCGCTCGGTGTCAGACAGGGACCTGGCGCAATACTCGAGCTTCGCCCAAAACCTGCAGCAGGTGCGTCGTGCGCTTTTTGTAGGTGGTGGTGGTGTTGCTGCTGCTGCTGGTTGGAAGGCGGGGGAGGGTGGTGGCAGGTTGTTTGCTCGAGTGCTGCTGTGCCAGTTCCACGCAACTATGCATTCGACGTGCTTCATTTGCCCAGCAGCTCGATTTCAGTATTTTTCAGGGCAGATGTGTGTGCTTCCAGCGTTGTGGTTGGACGGCAAGTGCTTTGTTCGTTGTTTCCGTGCATGTTGTTCCCTGTTGGGGTGGGTTTAGACACGTGGAGAACGACAGAGAGACAGACGACCCTGCAAATCTGTCTAAAGGCAGCGTTGTCTCGCACGTCGTTGGGCCGCTCGCTATCTCCCACAAGAGTTGCCGCAAAACCTCCCCCGACACTCTTCCGTGACCATGAGAAAACCTCACCGACCTCCGAAGCCCGCCTGGCTCCTCGTTAAAATATAATGTCGATTTGCTGTTGACACTTGGCACAACAACCAGTAGGCGAGCCGTCTATGTACGTCATGCACCCTTCCGTACTACGACCGGCATCGTTATATGATTCCACGTCCCCCACCCACCCTTGGAATGTCGAAAAACAGGCGCGGTCGCAGATCACGGGGCCGGGAGGAGGAAGCCTGGCGGCGTTCTCGTTCCCGGACCGGAATGCGGCGGGCGGGGCTGTGGGAGGGGCGGGGGGTGCGGCGGCGGCGGACGACGAGGAGGAGGACCTTTACAGCTAAACGATTCCAGGATATAGAGTAGGGCTTTGTTTGCTCGCCTGGAGGCATTTCTCTTCGTCTCTCATCTCTTTCGGTTTGTTCACCTCCTGGATTCGATGGGAGGTTTTCGCGGCTAGGAAAATGAGGAATATTGTCGGGTTCAATGCCTTTTGATGGCGATGCCTTGCTTGCATGCGTTTGCGTACGTGCGTGCGTGCGTGCGTGCTTGGGGTCCACGGTGGCGGATGGTGCAGCGGTGTTTTTTTTTTGCTGGTTGTCTTCCTTTGCTGCCCCGCCGTGCCGTGCCTTGCCGTCTGCTTTCCGCCAGAGGCAGCTTATAGAGGCGGTTTGTTCGCATTTGGGGATGGTACGGTATACACTCACTCAACTGGAGTGTACCACGGCACGATTGAGTGTTTTTCGGTGCACGTGGTGCAAGAGGGCACGAACTCCTTTCTTTCAGGAACGGAAGAGATAGATGGAGGTGGACAAGTGTAATCGTTTTTTCGGCGGCGGGCGGGCGGACGGGAGGAGGCGGGGCGGGGCGGGGCAGCAGACCGAAGTGGTGGTGGTTGTTTGCATCATGCACACATGAACGGGTTTTGCATCGATCCTTGGGTTGCTTGTTTGGTGTACGCTATTGTACGCTGACCATTGGCTCGGCCGTTGATCTCTCAAGTGTCTCCTGGCGCGACTGAGGTGTGCTTCTTTTTGTCTCTTTGCTTGTCTCTGGGGTGTGTAATGAGTTGAGGGGTTTCGTGTTCGGGGGCGGGGGGGGGG